CCAAACAAAAGACGACTGGGAAAAGATTGGCTTGGAAAACCTTGTATATAATTACAGTATACTACAGTAACTCAAGATCGTGCTGGCCTACCCGATGTTTTGAGTATTCATGTTGTCCTTCTTGATAGGATACAATGTGTTCTCTGAAACGGTGCGAGTCACAGTGCCTTTGATGGTCTTTCATGGTGATCCAATTGGCACATCATGTGCGTCATTCTGCTGGGAAAAGAATCATGAGAAGGGGAAGAATATGGAAGAATGAAATCCCAAGGCGATGGACATTGATTGTCCTTCACCAGCCAGTCATGAACCCGGATCAATTCATTCAAAGCCCCTCCTGTGATGCAGTCAACGTTTGGACCTTGACAGCCTTGCTAGCTGCTACCTTGTCCGGATCGAATGATGTGTTTTTTTCCAGACGAGCCTGTGGTTCGGGAGAAACTGGTCAGGAAAGAATCGCTCTGCTGGCCCACCAAGCTTTGCCACTCCTGGTCAGTTGTAATAGCTTAAGGCTTAGGGTGCTTGTATGCCTTGATCTCTGCCTTGGGCTACGCTACCTCTCTGGAATTATATAGATCTCCTTTGACTTTTCAGCCATCACATGTGACGCGCTTGGTCGGGCCTGCCGTGGACCTGTTCCCTCTGCAAAGACACAAAACGAGCAAGCTAAAGCTTGCGCGAACCGGCCTTATTCTCAGCGGCCATGTCCAACCTTAACATTCTAGCTCTAGCTTTCGTGGCGTGCTAGTCTTGGAAAGTGGCAAATTGACCAGACCTGCCTTGCAAGTGCCACACCCGGCTCTGGGTTCAACAAGCTTTGGGGCTTTGGGGTGCCTTTCCATTCTTATGACACCTCCTAGGAAGGCACCCCACCCCTCCCTCTTCGTGCTCCTCTTCCAAGCTCTGGTGCTCAGCGGTGAGGCGAAGGAAGTCCAACTTCAAGGACCTCGCCCCGCTTCAGCGGAGACACGAGCGGTTCCGCCCAAGTCACGGCTCAGCATCCCCTGACTAAGTCCGGACGAGTTAAACTGGTGTGTTAGGGGAGTCCAAGGACGCAGGATTGGCCTCCCAACTTTCACAACCTACTGTTCGTTGGCCTAACAAAGGCGTTTCAGAGCTGTTTACACTGCTTTTTGTAACGGCTTTTTCACGGATTGTTCACAACCTTCACCAGTTAAACTGGTGCGTGGACCCACCGGAGCAAGTGATAGGATTCGTCCGAAGCCGGCAAGTGATAGTCACCCAGTGATCCTCTAAGCACTTCGACAACGTTTGGCAACAAAACGTGTTGAGATTGATGAACTATGTCCCTGGCCCAGACAATTCGCAGATGAACCCCTGTCATTCCCCGGACTCCCGATCCGCCGGGGCCCCACCTGCCCCATCGTTGCAGGTCTTCAAGAAGTGGAGGAACCTGCAAGGCCACGGTCCCATCAGTGATGAGCATGGACAAAGGGACAGAGTCTGCGGCCGAGCCCTTGGAGCCTGTTCTCAATAGAAAATCCCACCTCAAAGTCTTCATGCGCCTCGATAGGTGAGGTGACTCACCAAGCTCGCTTGCTACGTGTTCTTTTTTGTATTCTTCAAGGCGACCGATTCTGCATTGGGGCGACTGGGTGACCAGAAGATGTGCGAGAAAATGTTCACAGCTTGGTCTGGCCACTTCTTTTTTATTTGTTTTCGATTGATCCTGATTGATCTCCTGCAGCCTCCGCAGAGATGTCTGGCCTCCAAAGGGATGTCTTTGAGCTTGGAGACTTCGGCCAGAAGACGGCCAGAAAAGACACAATCCTGGCCGCAAGAAGAGAGTCTGAAAGGTGAGTGGTCCGTTGAGCTTCATGATCCAACTCTTTCGGAAGAATCTGAAGTCATTGGATTTGGAAAAGATATGGCCCATTTGCAAGGGTACTTCACGGAGTAGTTGAGTAGTGCTCCTCGTGCTCTTCCGAGAGAGTCTTCAAGCGCCCCAAGAGGTTCATCAATGCCTCACCTGTGAAGGGCCCAGCGGACTCGGCTGCAGGGTGTGTTCGGCCGGTGGATGGAACTGGTCAAAGCTTCATCAAATGAGACTCGGCACAACACAGTTGTGACTGTTTAATGCCGATGGCACATGCCCCTGATATGAAAGGTATGAAAGAAAATTCCCTTGAATGCCGAAGTATGTGGCCCCTCGAATAGAGACCAACATGCATGTGGGGACATTCATTGCTCTATACATATAATATATATATATATCCATGGTGGACTAGGCAGGGCGAGTTGCCAGCTTTGTTTTCCTTTCACCTCAATAGTCAATAGCCAAAGACTGAGATGCAACGCTGGCTGTTGTTGTCAAAGTCTCCTCCTAAAGCACCGAGTGACGCAAGCCGCGCAGCTGCGCTAGAAGGGAGGCGCAAAACCACATCTGGTCCTGTCAGTGCTGATCAGCTGAACCAAGAACCATTTGAATGTTTTCTAGTAGCAAGAAGCTACGCACGGTGGAGGCCATCGCTACTAGTAACACTAAAGCTTTCTAGTAGTGCCGTTCATACTGCCGTTCATACTGCCGTTTATCTGAGATATCCCCTCGGTGCAGGGTCTCTTCTGTCCGATCCTGAAAGATAAAGAGGCAACTTCTGCCAATCACGGAAGTTCCACGGCTTGTACAGGTCACCATCAAAATAAATCGAACTGTTCGGCCAAGAGCAGTCTGACCGGGGGAGACGGTGTTTGTTGTTTTGGCCTCTCCAAAGACAAACTTCACCCTGGTGTCATGGCCAACTGCAAGGCTCCTGTTGAAGCTGCACTTTCGCATTGAAGACCTGGCAAGTCGAAAAAGAAGGGGCATGAGTCATGAGTCATTGGTGAAGAAAGATCACAATCGCAGTCCCTCCACCATCGACCGGATTTGGGGCGATGTCAATGACCGCGGAAGCAACATGGCAAGTCTCTATCTGCATCGAAACTCCTGGAAAGGCAAAAGCAGGAAAACCACTGTCTGTCGGGCCATACACAGTTCAAAAGCCGTACAAGCTCGCAACAAAGGTTTTGAGAGGAGACCAAACCACTATCCGAGCGTGAACTGTCCAGAGTTGTTGAACATGTCTAAAAGTTGCTGAGCGCTCCAGCTTGGTCCTGTTGGTACAACGGACAACACATGCGAGCCCAAAGGATGCTGAAGGATGTCGTTTCATGTTTGACCAAAGGGTCGCGCTTTGAATATCCTATTGTTTAAGACACATTGTCAAGAGAGTGTAATGATCTTTGATTTGCATGTGTGTTAAAGTTGGGACAGCTCCCAAGAACCCCCTTGAAGAAGGAAACAGACTCAGACCAAAACCCATTTTTCTTGGGAGTCTCCTATGAAAAGATTGATCTGGACGGACAGGGGATCATCTGCACACACAGATCAGGATCATCTGCGCACACAGCCAGGATCATTTGTGCACACAGATCTGGATCATCTGCGCACACAAATCTGGATCATCTGCATGCACAGGGCACATGGGGTGGGGTGGGGTGGGGTGGGGTGGGGTGGGGTGGGTGGAGCTAATGACGCTCACTTCGACTAGCATTCGTATCTAATATCCCAATGTTGAAGTAAGGGTGCGGTGGTGGGGTGGGGTGGGGCGGGGAGGGGTGGGGCTCACACACATCTGATCACCCTGGATCAACACCCGGCCTTTGCACCTACCGTAAGAACCCAAAGTATGGCCACACTGTTTAGGCACCCGCATACGGAAGCCGCGTGTACAGACGATCCCCGTCACCGCGTGTACAGAGGATCTGATTTCCGCGTGTACAGACGAACCCCTGTCCATCTGGACCCATCGTCCGTTGTCTATGGGTCTCCTTTTGGCACAACCGGACCACGCGTCCATTTCACCACCGTTCTCCGGCCTCGCGGCCATGCTCCAGCAACTGGCGAGCAGTGGTGGACAAAGTCTGGAGTTCACGCTCCTCCTTGTCCTCTGAGATCGTCGTATTTTTCGGTACGTTTTTGCAGGTTGCGAAAGCAAAGCAGGCAAGTGTCCAAAGTAGCAAAAGCCGTGAGAAGACCTTGCAGTAAATCGCTTCCACTTCGCTACAAATCTGGCAATCGCACACTCTTTTTAATCAGTATGAATTCCTCAAGGACAGCTTGACACAAAGGAACATGTTCTGGGCTCTGTGGAGGCCATCGCTTCTAGGTTGGAGCCCATCGCTCTGGGGTTGGAGCCCATCGCTCTTAGGTTGGATGCCATCGTTCCCTGGATAGAGCCCATCGCTCTTTGGGTTGGAGCCCATCGCTCTTGGCTAGGAGCCCATCCCTATTAGGTTGGAGGCCATCGCTACCATCGCCCTTAGGATGGAGGCCATTGCTCTTAGGTTGGAGCCCATCACTGATAGGTTGGAGGCCATCGTTTCTAGGATACCGGAGAGTGTGATTCAAAAACTCCGTCACTTCAAGGACACAGTCCTCCTCCGCGCCAGCTATCTTCCTGGAAGCTCTGCTGGGAACGTTTGCGCTACATATTTGACTGGACGTGGCTCTTCCACACTGGTCCTGATTTGTATCCCACATGTCTACCCATTCATGGTGAGGAACGAAAATCACATTGAAACCTTTGTAGGCCTCACCCAAGCTCCAGGAAAGTTTGGCTCTCTGGCCGCGAAATTTCACATTGTCTTCAAACTTCCAAACATGTCCAACAGGCAGCTCGGTGGGCATCCGTCTGGGCTGCCCCCACTTGCGCTTCGCCCGGAGTGGGTCGCCCAAGAGCTTTTGGGCATTCTTTAGGGTGCTCTCCAAGCGCTTGAGCTGGTCGAGTCCTGAAACATGGCTCGAGATGAGACAAGCCATCTCTAGCCAAGGCTTGGGTGTTTGTGCTTCAGTCGACCAGGACCAATGAAAGCTTTGAAAATCTGAGATCAAGAAATTAGCATTGCACAGGTCCGGTAGAAGAAGTCTTGCATATCAGATGCCAGAAGCTTCTCGCTCGATGCACGAATGCTTTCACAGGTGCCCTGCGTTCCCAAAGGAGTTTTCGAGAAGTACCTCTGGACAGCCTGCTTCTCCGCGAAAACGGGCGCCTCGAAGGTTGGTTGAGATGATCAGCCACAGGCGTCGAAGATGCAAATGGCAATCCTTTGCAGCTGAATGCAGCTGAAAACTGCTAGCTGTCGAATGTTACATTCAAAACACATTACCCTAAGAATCAAGGACCCTCAAAGGTGAAGGTTTTGAGGATCCAAACCCCTGCTATGCAGGAGGGTTCAAAGATTCTTAGGGTGATATGAAATGCCTTTTGGCCACGGCCTGTCGGGCACTCAATCAGTGATCGGGCGCCCGATCGGAGGACCGTCACTCTGTTGCTGTGTGGACTTCAGATGGACCAATGAAAACAGCCACCAGACAAACCACCAATCAATCAAAAGGGTGTCAGCCTGTTTTCATCTTTCACAGAAAGGTGCTGTCTTCAAAACCTGCCAGCTGTCCCCGTTTGGTCAGATGCAGAGTGTATATAATTACATTCTCCGGACTGACTTTCTGGATGTGCAATAAGTCGGGTCTTCCTATTCTAATCCAGGTTCATTTCGGGTTCTCGAGCATTGCACTTTAGGCCGCGAATTCCAGCTATGCCCGGTCCTGCCAAAAGTGTGCGATTCCAAGTTCACCCTGGCGATTCCAACATCGGATCAGGATCCGTGGTCACTCCAGTCATTGCATTCCTTGCACCAAAAGAACAACAAAAACAACCAGGATTGCCTCAATCACTGGGACACCCTCATCCGTCAGCGCATCGGGTGGAACGGCCTGGCGTTTTGGAACACCAGCTTGAAATCGGGAGAACTGAATCGCTTCTCCGCTGAAATGTCAGTCTGAGGAATCTCTCCGAAAAAAACTAAAAGGTCATCTTGAGCAAAGCGGCACGCTTTGTAAGTCTGTAGGAAGGACCTTCAAGTCTGACCTGTGGCAGTGCCTCGAAGATCTTCTTGGCATCAATCCACAATTTCCGCCAGGCACTTTCCCAACGGTCATATGGGACGTTTTGGACCTGCACACAAGGTCGACTTAAGCGCTGACGCAAGCGATACTATGAAACCGTTTCTGGAGGCGATACGATGTCCACAACATGGCCGACTTTTCTCTTGCAGATTCCTTTCGTGATTGGTCTGGGATAGGCTGGAAGGTTTGTTCATGCATTCGATTGTTGAGTGTCTGCAGCGCTCTATGAGTAGATGCAAAAGCCGACTAACCATGCAAGCTTACCTCCACATCAAAACTCCACAGGGAACAGGAATGCTTTCTTTCACTACCTTTCTGTCCTCTGGAAAGGGCTACCAAAGACTCTTTACGACGAAAACACCAGGTGCGCCTCCCACCGCACACCCGGTGCCGCCGCCCAAGTCCATGGTGGCCGTCCTGAGGAAGTCGGATCTTGGTTTTTCGGTTTCTAATAGCTTGTTGTTACTACTAGTAAGGCACTTGGTACTAGTAGCGATGCACTTGTTCCTAGTAGCTTCTTGTTAAAGATCAATCCTGAACTGATCAGATTTTGGATCGGATTCACGCCCCAAGGTAAATCTGGTGCCAGGAGAGGCCCGGGCCTCTGATGCCTGTCTCTTTGCGCTCTATTTTTGACTGGGGTTACAATGGCCAGGAGAGGCCAATTTGAGAAAAATGATCCAGATTGAACAAGTGGAGAAGCTCCCTTAGTTCTGCCAGTGCATTCACCCCCATGCCCACGTCACTCTCCCCCTTGGCTTGGGCCTTCAGGGGCTTCCAGCCGAAGCGGCCCTGTCAAGTGACACTTAAGAACTGGATTTCTTCAGAAAGCTGTCATGTGTTATTTTCATTCAAGCGATGTTGGGGCACTGTGGCACTTCAGTAGACTTTCAACAGCCAGAGGATGGAACTGGTGCGACCATGGTGTATCTATTTCTATGTCCAGCTTTGAGCCTTCAAACCATCTCCCTTTCGACTCCAGTTGCAAGCACAACGACTAGGAATCAGACTCTCTCTCCCAAGTGACCATGGAATGAGAAACTCTCTCCGATAAGTCTTTTCCGTGCCATCGCCCGAAGCATCCGTGTATGCTCCGATGATTCTTCCAGGTGAAGAGCAGTTCCCACCGTTCCCACCTCGTGCGGTCGGAGCTTCCAGTGACTGGCGGCCTGAAGCCGCAAAGCTCAAAAGGTTCAAGAAGTTTTGAAGCCTAGGAGCAAGGATGCTACTAGGGGCTCCTGGCCTTACTACTAGGAGCAAGGAAGCTACTAGGAACAAAGGGCATCGCTACTAGCAGCAAGGATGCTACTAGGGGCTCCTGGCCTTACTACTAGGAGCAAGGAAGCTACTAGGAACAAAGGGCATCGCTACTAGCAGCAAGGGCTCCTGGCCTTACTACTAGGAGCAAGGAAGCTACTAGGAACAAAGGGCAGCGCTACTAGGAGCAAGGACGCTACTACGGGCTCCTGGCCTTACTACTAGGAACAACGACGCTGCTAGTAACAAAGGGCATCGCTACTAGCAGCAAGGAC